AGGCGTAATGTTGGAAGAGGCGCATTATTGTTCTCTAAAAATTAAAAATGAGACACTTGAATAAATATGACAACAAACTAAAATTGAGGGGGTACCTATACATGTAAGATTGAAGGAAATAGTAATTTTATGCTTAAAATTAAGTAAAAATTAGTAAGTTTTGATTAGTTCAATTTTGCTGCACATGAAACAACTTTTCCAAGACGCGTTTTCTACCTTTTCAATGGAATAAAGCTCGAGCTGATTGCCAAGAAGAAAGTTGTTTATACAAACTACATGGTAAGGGTAAAGAGGATTTTATAGAGCTTAGTATAGAAAAATAAACAATTTAAAAAGAGACAAAAAAATTAATGAAGACAACAAATTAATACTTAATAAACTACAAAATAAGAATTATTAAATTAAAAATAATCTCTAATATTTAAAGATTTATTTTATTAATAATTTAAGTTATATGACCTAATATAATAATTGAATTACAAGGTGAAAGGTTGTGTTTTTACTCTTACCGGTACCTAAAATTTATGTTAAAGAGATTTGAATTTTGCTTGTTGTTTCAGTAGTGTTTCTATGTTTTTTAAGCCCCAATGTTTGATCTTTAGGTGGAAGCTCCCATGAGTAAAATATATGTAACTATATTGTAAAAGGAATATTCTTTGTAATTTAAAATATTAAATTTAATTTATAAAAAAATATACGTATTTAATTTTATGTCACTGTAAAATTACCATTTAAAACTATTGCTTGTGTAGCATTACCGAACTCCTCTCTTTGATTTTTATTGAAATGTTGCAAAGTGACAGACGCTTCTACCCTATTTATGTCACTACTTAATCCTTATCTTCATCTATCTTCTCGTCTTCTCGAGAACTATTTATTAAAATTTGTATTGTTTTAGTCTGATGCCTAATTAAACATTACTTTTGTGACCTGTTGGACCTCTTGCATCCGATTTTTGCTTTCACTAAGAAAAGCACGAAGTAGTAGTGGTGGTAGCAATCATTCAGCTTTCTCACCTTTCATTGTGTGCTTTTTTTTAAAATTTATTTTTTATTGAATTATTACGTTCTTTCACTTGAACATCATCTTTATACTTTTCTAGGAAATCGACAAGCAATTTCATTGAAAATATACACATATACATTATCTTTTACCCTTTTGTTGACCTCTTACTAATCCTTCATTTTGTGCTCTTTAAAGCAACCTAGCTACTTGCTTAAAAAAATCCAACAACCAATAAATGGTCACATGCTTTTTGCTTTTAAGAACCTTAGCGGAGTGCGTTTAATACCCACTAGGTGTTGTTTGGTTGAGGGATTACATAAATCTGAAGATTCAGCTCAAAACTC